CTTAGGCTTATAAGACGATCTCCGTCGTGGATCTTTCTTGAGATATTTTCTTCTAGATCTATTCTTATATCTAGTGGCCAGACTAGCTGCCTATACTGGAAAGCTATTTTTATCCACTCAACTGAATCAGTTAGGATGGTGGATTCGAGATAGTCTTGTTTTCAAATAATGTAAATTCACCCCGCCCAGCTCTTGCGCAACTAGTGGGCAAGAACCATACAGTTGGTACTGCATCATACCCTAGGGTTATGATCTACAGTAACCTAACCTCGTATATCTCAAGTCTCCGCATCCGTCATCGCCATTCAATCTATTCACTCCAATGAGAAGCTATACACAAATTGAATACTCGCAACATTTACAATTTCATAAATAAAAAAACAAAGTTTACTAAAACTGCAAAAGCTGGACCATTCCCGACTTCTTGGCAAGCTATCCTGTCTACGGGTACACATCCAACTTATTAATAAACCAACAGTTAATATATACATGCATACAGCACATCATACCATACTAGCCTGAACCCCTCCTCACGAGGAAATATCAAAATACAAGGATCAAATGGAACGATGTATACGAAATGCGAAGGCGTAGCACATCAGACACAGCCGGGGTATTTGAATGGACGACATACGATGAGAATGACCAATCAGTGGTTCGGCTATAACGGAACGGAACCGCATTGTCGGGTTCTAACTGTTGGATTGGTGTGGATACGCTTGCTAGTTCTGCGGCATGGATTTCATGGATGTTATGGATGGATGTGAGGCTTTGAGATAATGCATCTGGATTCTCGTATGGTGCTCGTGCGTGTGTGAAACGTGGGTAGGTTCTTGCTTGGGTTTTATTTCGTGTCTAATGTTTTTGGCCATTTTTCCTTTCTTTGGATGAAAAGATAATACTAGTTTGTTCAGAGTCGTCTACTATAGATTTCCTATCAAATCACAATCATATTGGTGCTCCGAAGAAAATCTAACGTTTAGTTTGATTATAGTGAGTGGTTCAGCTACCACTCGTTCGCTCAATACTTCCTCACACCAGAGCACATTCCGAATAGGGATTAATTTGATCTGGGAAAAATTGACGTGAACCATGTTCCGCTTTTTTTTTTAAAGAATTTTGAGAATCCTTGGTTGTTACTTTGATTAGTTGAAACATCATCTCTTTAAGGAATATAGCTGATCATGGAGGAACGAGGAGATTTGTATGTTAATATGTGGTACTCTGCTTCTCCCAATATGGATGAGTTACCGAGACAGGAGATCCACTTAGCAGTGCCGAATTACATTTCATTCATTATGCCACTAATCCAACGACCTTGAGACTGATGGCAGACCAATGTCTAGTCTCGGTTAAAAAAAAGACGCTATTATAATTTGATGTATCGCAGTACATCGTTAGGAAATACATATTGTGAGAAAGTTGGAATTATAGGCCAAATATATAAAGGTTTTTAACCAATCAATCACATGATCTTTTATAATTAAATATAAAAGGAAAACTTTTATTTTTTCTTTTTATAATAATTAACCTTCTATATATATATATTTGAATCTATATAATATCAATCTCAAAATTATTACAAATTCTGTTTTCTTTATAAGTGATATATTACGATATAATCCAATTCAGTTTTCTCTTCCAATTCCCTCTTTACAATGTACTATCGGGATGCACGTATCTCGACCTACCACTTTTACAATATTAATTCATACTTCACTCATTTAACTATCTCTTTAAATGGCTTACTCATATACAATCACAAAAAACATGCCCGCAGGACTTCAGCTATTCCTCCCATCTAGCATATCATTTCCATCGAATTTAACGCTTGACCTAGCACTGCGGCACAGCTCTACTCTGTATAATCTCTATTACAGCTCTCTGTCCTGTGCTTTCTCACATCCATTATTTTGTTAGAATTGTGAAGCCGAACCAACTAAATAGTTATGCGCCGGCTGAAGCCTATAAGTCTAGTACCCCCTTTCTGGACCACCCCTAATATGGACCACCTTTTTACACCAAAAATCGTGATTTTCATTTATTAATAACTTTACAACCAATAAATAGAATTTGATGAAATTTGAATCGTAGATTCATTATATAGTTATAACTCAATTCTGAAAATTTTAGATTTTTTGGAATTAATTTCATTGAGATCTATAAATTTAAATTTTTCGATTTTCGATTTATATAGAATTTATATACAAATTTGGAAAATCTTTAAAATCTTGAATAACATTTCAATAAAAATACTTAAAAATAAACTATAAATTCTTTTCAAATATTTATATTATAAATAATCGAATAAATCACTTTATTTTGAAAAATAATTTACAGAAATCCCTTTAATCAAAATGTTATAATTTTTAATCCTTATAAAATTTATAAATATCAATAAAAATTCATTTATATTGTCACGGATCTCGTATAAGGACGATCACGTGATTCCAATTGATCGACAATTCCTATCGGTGAGCTGGTAGGCTGTGCACTTGCGTTTCGATTTACCCTTTTTAGTATGGGATTATGGTCACCTTAATAACCGATGTGCACAACCGTGCAGCTCCCGTATAGGTATTTTGTATATATATATAGATGCTCCCTACGAGCCGTAGCTTTTCAGTTGTAGATTCTAAGGAATATAATTGACTCTGTTTATTCAGCTCTTATGAGGCTCTTGTACGTCACATATATTATTTAAAATTTGAAATCTTAATCTTTTATATAATATTTGATTTAAAGATTTCAAAAAGATTTATGTTTATTTTGGATAATTTTTGTTGAAAAGTTGTTCAAGTTTTTCAAGTTTTTTAGATTTGTATATAAATCCTATACAAATTGAAAATCGTAATTTCCATCATTTATATCTCAACCAATAAAATTGTGAAAAATTTGAAATTTTCAGAATCAACTAATAATCATATAATGAATCTATAATCAAAATTTCAGTTGATTGAATTGATTGATCGTTGAAATATTAATAGGTGAAAATGATGATTTTTGGTGTAAAAAGGTGATCCAAAAGAGGGGTGGTCCAAAAGTAGGGTACTAGACTTATCCTCTAGACCTGTTTGTGGAAGGGGACTTGAAATCCAATCCATAACATTCCGTACCTAACACATTACCATAATATTGACCCTGTCACCCAATCACGAAAATGTTCTAGAACATCACACAACATGAACTAAATAAAAGTCGTTGCCTAAACCTCCATGTTGGAGGCGTTGTTGTCGCGTCATGTTCACCTGCATACTTTTTTTGGTTTGTTAGCGACTTGGCAAACTTATCGCATTCTTTTCTGTTACCGTGGTAATGGGATGATGGATGGTTGGCGCGGTTATGTTTGCGGCTACAGAGGCTGGGAATCTATTCTGAGGCGAATGTGGTGGATGAACGAGGACATGTAGTTAACTGATAATTAGACGACGAGGGAGGAGTCTATCCATATTGGATATTTACTTCCTTTTCTGTATTTCATTTTCCTTTTTGGGGATATTGCGGAATACTTTTGATGATAATATTTTCACTCGCTCATACCTATACTCTGGTACTTCTAAATGCAATTTTGTTATTTCTCAATTAAGCGAAGGTTCTTACTAGACGTTATTAGGAAGAAGGGTAGAATTATATATATTTACAATGCGACAAAACATAACCTTGAAAATTATGTTTACGTTCATATGTCTTTGCCTTCCAGTAACAATTTCCGAACAAACAAAAGACCTACAGAGATCTATTTGATACTGACGAGATCAAGTGATATCATATTCTACCTGGAAATGGGACAAGCATCTGGTGATCTCAAATTTATTGCCATAATGTCCGCAGCAGCCACACACCTCAAAAATCTAGATCATTTGGAAAACTGTTCAACCTGAAGATGACACTTGGTGCCAATGATATGATCTGCATAAAAATTGTGGTATTAGGAGTGATGTCTGTGATTGCACCGTGTATATTTTTGCGAATTCGGGATTTCATGGGTGATAGGGATGGCGAAGTATATGCATAGCTTCTGTCGTTGCAGGTCTCTAGATGAATATTTATCATATTCATCTCGACCTTATTCACGGAGGTGGGAGTTGCTGTCTTCAAATTCAATTTGTTACCTAGGAGGTCTTTAGTCATTGACAGTCGCATCAGTATGAAGTCTGGGGTATTTCATCTCGAGTACGAGATGATATCCACCGGATACAACCATAATCTGCCTTTTACTTAGGTGAATCCTCCTAATGAAGCCATCTAGATCTTCTGTTGCAAACCTAAAATCCATCATAGTCAGGATGTCTATGACATATATCTTTCACCACCCAAGATCCCCTCCCCACTGTGAACAACTCATCTCAACCTTACCGCCATACTAGTACGTCAAAGCAGATTTTTCCCCAAAACAAATATACATAAAAGCTTCCAAATCGTTATGTTCATCTTCACATAAATCCCATAATATATTATTGATTAGGTCAAAGAAATTCAATACGCCAGATTACCTTGCTACCAAATAGCTTTTGTAGCATATCTGAACATGAATCTCAAAAATGACTCCTCGGTTAAATTCGCGATAAATCCCCCTAATTCCTAGAATGAAAGGTCTCAAAATCTTGTTGCACATTTCATTCTGAAATCAAGAATTCACTTTGTGTCACTGGTCCTTTTCAATGCCTAGGGACAATGAAAAGTTTTGTTGCATATCTGAATTTTTGATGATTTAGGCATTAAGGGATTTCCAAGGCAGTAACGAATATGAATAATGCTGAAGTGAAACATTGGACTTTGTATGTGGGCGAAGGCTTTCAAGAAGTGTGAGAGGAAGGAGCTAAGATCAAAAAAGCCGAACGAGAATAAAAACTTACAGATTACCTATGAGTGTAGCGAGGAGCTATCCTGCAAAACTTCAGTCAACGTTGTAGACATCTAAAATAGTAAGACTACTACCACAGCCCATCTGAAGATCATTCATTTCTTAGTTTAAGGACATGTATGGTTCAAAGGATTTATATTGTAAAAACATCGATTCTGTCTGAAATACAGCCTTTGAAATTGCATATATCATCGTTATTCCCTTCTCTCTTCATAGCAGTAGTCTAAAAGGCATTCTCGCTAGTGCCGCCCGACCACCACGTATGTAGACGAAACTACTCGATTTTCACGGTAACATAGGATTCATCCAGATGAATAAATTTTCCTGACATGTACCCAGCCCCAACACGTTCGTAAGACATCCGGTTAGAAGCCTCGGAGACTGGCTTAACAATCAAAACGTAATGTTTTTTTGTGCTTGCATCATTTGAATTCTGTTTATCAGTACCAACGATTACGCATTTCGTCGGAGTAATCATTTCACCATCATAAAATATAGATGCTTCGCTTTTGCCAGCGCCTGCATGTATATTAAAATCAAATGCTTTAGCCTGGATAGCCAGACTATCATTCTGACGGCTTGTTTTAAGCCATGAAGTCTGATCACAATTAAGATTAGCAAACGGGAGGGTCACTCCAGAATTATTCCAATCAACCTGACCGCCCAAAGGCTCAATGAACGAGATCGCACCGTCAAAAGCCATCCACGACCAAGTTGGCGGAACCCGACGTGAATGTGTACCATGCGGGATCTTCCTCAGTAGTTCTACATTTTCTGCCCGTCGCCAAAGCAAGCAGCGACCCCAAAATGTCTCAAAGAGACCTGCGAGACTTCGTGTTTTGAAGGCGACAGTCAGTCGCTCCATCAGTCCATCAATGGCGACAGGTCTATCTTCTGGGTATGAAAATTCTAGCTTAGTGTATGTCTGGAACAAATGAATAAACAGGTCGATTTGCTCCCCCACAGTGCTCGTTGGCCGAATCGTGTAGTCAGGAAAATTTGGGTCCCCGAGGAAAGCTATTTTGTCACTAATCAAAACATATCAGCCGGGCCTGTCTGATGAACATTTTTCAACTTACTTCCTGAGTGTCGCCAATGTTTCGCAGCGAATGCCCTTACCACACTCCCAATATATCTGAGTCTCTGTAAAAAAAATGGTTCGACGTGCCAAGGCACGTTCCTGCAATACCCATCCGCGGCGGCTCAAGGAACTGTGGAGGACGTCCCGCTCAAAATCATTGGTGATTGGCGAGATGTAGACATTATTGATTTCGAGGTATTTTGATCGTGACTCTCGAACGTACAAAAAACCATCCCTAGCACTCTGGGCACTGCAAGCGGCCAGAACGCAGTACGCACCATTAAAGGTCGTTTGCATCTTGTCTGCCTCCTGACCGAATTCGCCGTCCGGGCCTTGTAGGATGCACAGAGAATCGATCCAGAGAAAAGAGCAGTCGAGCGCTTTCGTAATCGCGATGGCATTTTGAAAGCTAAGTGGTAACTCGTCCAATGGAATTTCTTTCTTGCGTTGTTCGAGGTTCACCTTCATTGTCTTGGCGTCAGCAGGCATATTCCCCCATTTGTGTGAGAGAGCAAGGTATCGAACGCCACCCGGAGGAAGATTCTTGTAGAGATCTGCCGTTACTACGATCTTTGGCGTTTGCAGTGTTTCAACACTGATGAGCCTTTTTGGCAACAAGTGGGTAGCCTTAGCAGCACAGACATCTCCATGATTGCTATCACAATCTTTGAGCCATGCTTTTGCTAGTTTTATGAAAAATCCTAGATTCCCAGGAGAAGGGTCGTAATTGATGGGCAGTAGAGGTAACATCGGCGCAGCTTCGGGGGTCAATGTACCTTGTTTCGTTTCTGATTCTCCTGTTAGATCAAAGCACTAGACGACAAACCTCAATACCTACCAATTAAGCGGAGAAACTTTTGGCTGGTTTCTTTCAAGATGAAGTCTTTCCCTGATTGTTTCAGCAAGATCTCCTGTATATCGCCGTGGCTCGTTAGGTTTCGTTCCTTGGCTGCCGTGTAGACCAGTCGGCAGAGGTCGCACTCCCTGTTTCTTGACTTAGCCTCCAATGTTCCCATATGATAAGCAATCTCTGAGTGTTGTGACGGGATATTGATGGTGCTGCAGCCTGTACACAATTTGGGTTCGCTGAGACTATAGTTCCAACCTTCCAACATTGACTCGACGAATGAAGAATTTTCAGGAAACGTCCCCCACTCATCTTTCATGCTGTTAGTATACTCGCGCCGTTGAGCTATTTCGGTTCTCCATCCTTGTATCACAGGCGTGCTCACTCCTTTTGCATCATTGGCCGATAACAACGAACTACCCAAGGATTGTAATGAGCTTTTTGTGGTTGAATTGGCTACATGGGGTGGAGACATGCTTCTGCGATCTTTACCACTAAACAAATACCTTTCGTCTCCTTCAGCTCGTTTAATAATGATACCAAGCTGTTCCCTTAAATCCCTGGCATTTGTGCGGAAGCTTTTGGTGTAGGTATCTGAGTTTGGGGGCAGATCAATCTTGAGCAATCTATCCCTAACCAACTTGATCACGTCACCGATAGCGCCCTCGCGTTCTAAATCACGCTTTAATATATCTTCCATCCATTGATTTGCCACTTCAGTCACCCTGTAGTGTCCTTCCCCATCTTTCCTCCAATATGGTGTTACGCGTGTCTCTCCTGTGGGAAATCCGTTCTGCCGCAAGAATTCATTATGAGATTCGTAGCCATACAGCAACCACAACATGGCTTCAAAGATAACGGCACCCATGCTCCATATATCAAACAAGCGTGAAATTTTGCCTCCTGCCTTCTCCTGATTTTTTCCGTCTAGATCTGGGGGCTCATACCATCGTGTTCTCCAAAGTTCTCTTTCCGTACTATGCCTCATTCTTGTCACAAATTGATGTTGTTGTGCTCTTCCCAGATCTGCAAGTTTCAGAACACCCAACTTATCATAATCTTCGCCGACAACGAAACGCAGTATGTTTTCTGGTTTAATATCACCATGACGCCAGTTTTGCGAGTCGGGACTTTCAGTGACTTTTAGAGTTACAGGATCAGACGAAACGACAATGCTTGGCATTGTTTGTTTGTTATCATCATCTTCTGCGGGATCAAAATTGAACGTTGGCAAGGACGAGCTATCCACAGGAAGTACACCTGCACCAAGGCTACTCTCCTTCCAATCTGCACCCATTTGTGGTCGGAGTGCCGGGGATGATGCTGAGTTACTCCTGCTATGTCGAGGCGAATGAGCCCTAGTAGAATGCATTGCTTCGAGAGCCTGAGCTAGTCCATACAGTTGCTCCAACATTTCTTTGATCCGTCGACGAACTTGACTGGGATCTGGATGATTCATTTGAGGTTCAGGATTCTTCTGCCAAAAGTCAAAAAGGCTTCCACCATCAGCCCATTCAAGCACAAGATAGTACTCATCGTTCCGCTTGTTGTTCATCGCAATTTGATGGTAGGCGGCAAATGCTTGAATGATATTATCACTTTTTCGATTCAGCTGCTGATGAGCTCTTGCCTCACGCTCCCATTCCTTCTTTATGTCATAGCCGGGATCACCAAGTTTTATCAGCTTTTTTAACGCGACTTTCAACGTCTTGCTTTTTACATCGACCATATTCTGCTTACTAGCCAACATCTCCACACATTCAACTACGCTAAAGTGGCCGCTTCTTGGTGAAGTATCCGCTTTATCAAACACCGTAAAGGGAAGGGGTTGATTTTTATCGAACTCATATATGAAAGTCTCGCTATTAAAGGTGGGAACAATAAATGGCAACCGTTTATCTTTGAAAGTATCAATCGTGCTCTCGTTCCAAAGCTTGTGTTTAAAATAGGACGGATCGAGCTTATGGGATCCTAACAAAGTATCTTTGAATTCACTCGCCATTAGAGAGTCCATGACTTCACGTCGACTTTTACTGTCGGTGAATACCTGCAGCAATGTAGCAAATGTTTTCTTCGCATGGTCAAGAACATACTTGACTAAAGGCAAAACCTCATAGCCACCACCGAGGGCATCTTGAATCGTGTCTTCCTTGAGGAGTCTATCATATTCATCGTCTGGAAAATAATAACCCTCTATGGATACCCCAATTACATTGCTTTTCGCAACTTTCCAGATTTCTGAACCAAGGTCAACGGAATTTGTCGGTAAATTTTTCGCTGCCGCAGCTCGCTCGCATTTTTCTCCTACATTTCGTTCTTCGACTCAAGGTCTCTTGTTAGGGTGTACTCACAAAATAAGGTGCAAAAACAACAGCTTACCTTGGAAGCTAGGGGCTTCGCGCCTTAACCCGGCCATTGTAATCGCGTGAACGTTGTTGGTGACAGATCGTGTATTGTGTTGAGAGCGAAGATAGAATCAAAGGAAAAAGAATCAAAGCTATCATTTTCAAGATTCGAGATCTTCCAAGAACAGGCTGAGCTTGCGGGAGGATGCATGTGGGATTCGAGCTCCAACGGTCGGCTGCATTCAATACATTAGGAACCCCGAAGGCCTAGCCTAATGGTGCATGAAGACAAGTACATATGCAGATATTTTGCTAGCTGAACCTCCGATTTTCACGAAATCAAAGGTCAATTATTGATTTGCGAAAGTGGTCGCGGAGTGTCATCGGTTCAGATAATGATATAACTTGCATAAAAGGGCCCTTAATCTAGTCTCCTCTTTGCGCAATCCAAATAACATAATGACGGAATCAAAAAACAAGGTGCGGAAGCGGCCTATCACCGACTGACTGAATGAACACATCGTCGATTGAGATATTGAGGCTTCGCTGCTCGCATCTTCCTGCAAGACATTCTGGAGACCAACTGCTCAAAATCGGTGTTAAAGAATGCTACCACTGTACAGGACAAGCATACTTGGTCGATAAATCTCTGCTTCGATTGGAGCTTTATGCTAATACAATCGAAAGTTTGCCACTAAGGCTTCAAGAAAATGAAGGCGGATATGTTGCCTAATCAGCTCACCGACTCCATGGCCAAAGATTTAAAAAAAAACAATACAGCCCCAAAGTAAGCTTTGATCGAAGCATGCAATGAAAGCCCCAATTTTGACGTTCTTGATCATACGACCCCCTAATGATTGCACCATGCATTCTTTCAACGAGAGGGCGGATCAAATGACATTCTGTCGGATTACTGAGGCACAACAGACACCACATTTTGGGAAAGAAACATCAATCGAATCGTGATTTTCCATTCTGTTATTCCTAAGTCCTTCGCGAAGAAAAGCGCGAGGCAAAACTTGTTGAACTGGTGAAGTGAGTTGGTGAGCTGTAGAAAATTTGCCCGGCACCACCTGACGTGATACACATAGCCATTGTTGCCCATCATCTGGAAATCTCATGTCGTATTGTATTCGCACAACTCGGAACCAACAATATCAGCAAACATGTGATGATGTTTGGCAATGGAGATCTTACATTGTATATTCGGGGTGAGCCGGTGTTGTGATGTTTTAGAATCCTTCCCCTTCTGATTACATAATCTATAACATTAAAAGCCAGTATAAAAAAGGAAATTATACTTCAAGTACTATAGTATATTCGTAATAAAATTAAATATATTATAAAAACTTTTTTAAAAAAATCCAGTTTATGATTAAATTAATAATATTTATTAAAGTTTTAGTTATTATATATAAAATATTTAAAGAAAAAAAAGATTTCTTTAATATTTTTTAAAAACTAATAAAAGAACTTAATATTATTTTAGATTAATTGATTCTTTATTTATTATTTTTAGTATTAAGATAGATATATAATTATAAAAAATAAAAAAATAGTATATATATCAAAACTCAAAAGTATAATTATATATAATAAAATAAAATAATTAATCGATTTAAATAAAGATTTATATCATATAAATTTATTATATAATTTACAATTTTTATATTTAAAATAAAATTATTGATTATTTTCTGTTTTCAAATAAAAGAGATAGTTAATCTATATTTATAGTCTATTCAATTATATAAATATAATCTTATTTTATAATAAAGAAAGCGAAGATAACATCTAGCAAGTTTATACAGTACACTGGTAGTAATCTTCCTGAGAGTCAACTACAAACAACTCATTCCGAATTCATCTTATACCTTCATCATCTTCAAATATATCACAAAATCACATCTATCTTTGTATATAAATCCTATAAAAATGACACCGCAAGAACAGTAGAGATAAGATTCCGAATATCCTACCATATTCATCCCAATACATTTACAAGATCAAATCAAATGCAAAGAATTCCAATTTCAAGCTCGGAGCTCTCAAGATCTTACATAAAAAAACCATCTAGATATAAGATTACATACCATTTCTACTCCTACACAAAATTTATAATCTACTCAACACCTCATCCTATTCATCCAAAACATTTACCACATCTATCAAATCCCTATTAATCACAACCTCACAACAAAGCAAACCATTTAACCGCAGCATTTTACACAATCCCAGTCCCTATCCCTATCCCTATCCCAATTCCAAACCCAAACACAGTTTTTACAGAATAAAATAACACAAAACCCAATCCCATCTCAATTTGAAATTTCGGATAAACCCCCTCGCTTAAATCTTTCCCAAACTCCCCGAATCCCTTTCCCAAATCCGCAAACTCCCCAAATTCCCAAACCATCGAAAACCCAAATTCGCAACCTCAATACTCCATACGCCATAATTCGTACTCGGCATACACATACCTATACTCCATATACAAACAAACAAACAGACCCCCGAAAACCAAGCACCAAAACACCAAAAACCCTCGAAAATCCCCACAATCACCTCATCACACCCCGATCCACTACCCACAACCCACATCCCTCTAGTGCCTCCACAGATTATCCAACTTTTTAAAAAATCTCCTCTCCCTCTCTCCTCTGCCCTCTGCCCTCCCCGCCACCGGAAGCACCTTCCTCCACCCGGTCAGCGCGGGGCCCGTTCTTCTCACCCCCATCCTTCAAGTATCAACTCATTCAGTGTCCACAGCCCGCATCCCCGTGCCGCATTCATTCATTCATTCACTCTTAGTCTCCTACTAGTTTCCTACCTAACTAGCGTTATTAAATTTTCCACATCCTCACATCCCAAACCAAACTCCGTATATAAAACTCCGTCCACATAATACATACATCCAAAAACCCCCACCGGGCTCTAGATCCCCATACGGAAAATCCATTTGTTAAATGATCCACTCCCAGTGACATCCAGACTCCGGTGACATCCAGCGCTTCATGAAAATAGTTGGATATACGGAGTTTATTACTCTATGCATACATACCATATATCAATAGACACAATAAGCAATAAAGATTACAAATCTTCTTCTTTCTCCGTTTTACACTTTTGAGAGCTCTCTCTCTCTCTCTCTCTTCAAAAATCGAGTTTTCAAATTTTCAGTTAGTCAGGTACTTGGACATATAAACCGCAGACGACGGACTACGGACTGCGGACTTAAAGCCTGATTTGATTGATTGATTGATCGATTAAAAAGCAAACAAAACAAAATATTATAAGAGATTTCATTTTCAAAGAATGATTTTGGAATGAATTTAGAATATTTTTGATTTCAGAAAACCCACCCCGAAAACGACTTAATCAAAAAATAATATAATATTATAATAATATTAATTGGATTTTTTGTTGTAGAATAAAAAGGAATATTGTATAAAATTGAAAGAATTCTAGTAATTTGATTGGTCAATAAGACCCAGTTAAGCGATGGAGTCCATTTTGGTATTCTAGGGGATACATTCTGCATTTTACATTCCGCATTCATTCATAACACTGAGGTGGAAAGGGAAAAGTGGCCGAGGAAATAAGATCTTGCAATGCCGCCGAGATATATCGATCAATATATTTTTATCACCATCACCATAACCATACCATGAGACTAATATCCTCACCCCATGCAGCCATCATTCATACGAGGAAAAGATTTCATTTCATAAACATTCAATGCATTAATCCAACGCTAGGTACTAACTATACTACACTATTCACCATTGTCATCGCGTTATACCATATAGCGCGCGCGCTGCTGTGACATTCGACATTACTTACAAACTGACAACCTCGCTGAAATCAGAAACTCCAATCCGCTCAATGCAATCAAGACCAACTGAAGAAAATACATCATTCCTCTCTTATTACACCCAGTTGCGCCTCTTCAAGTCAATGAATCCATTCGTCCATCCAATCGATGCGTACTCCAATCCCAATCCTTCTATATGATAAAAATGCAATTCTAAAGCATTAGGTCGTTAAGTAAGGACCTTCCACCTTCCACCTGTCGCATCGTCCCATCAATCACTTAATCAAACCTCGTACCCAGTTTAAAGCCACAGCCGCCATGCTGTACTCCCAAATCTCAACAGAAAACGAAACTTGCAAGTTGCAAGTTGCGCCCGCTAGAATAACGTAAAAGTAAACAATGAAGTAAGCACAGAGATTGAAATCCCTTATAAAAAACTAAACCCCCAAGCAATGGTACTTGCAAGCGCTAAAACTTGAAATATAAGCTAACCACCCACTTATTAATGTTCTGCGCTTGCTGTCTACTGCTTACTAGTTGTTTTTACCGCTGAGCCTCAAGTATTTAATGATCGTAATGAGAGGTTTAATTCCCAATTACCATAATCAGAAGTATAATACTCCCAATCAACAAAACAGCTGTGGTGATAAGCACAGATCCGCGATGGATCCATCCAAGGTTTTCATTTCGACATGCCATGCAAATCAATCCACCAGCAGCTAGACAAAATCCCAGCAAGGCGCCCATGAGTGCGCCCAAGTCAACCTCTGTCCTCAATTTGTGGCGTCCTGTTGCAAGGAGAAGTGTAGATGCGGCTTCAGAGAATGCCGAAAAGAAAAAGCAAGCAATCATGGTGAATAACAGAGTTTGTTCCTGGAACTGACTTAATCTTTGATCGGCCACGCTAGGAAAGGTAGCATAGTGCGCAACATATCCGCGAGGGAAATCCGCCGAGGAAGCATAGGCTTCTTCATCCACATCGGTTACTGAACCACTGGCTGTTCCGTTCGGGCTTCGCTGAAAGTATCCCCCATCCTGATCCCCCAATAGTGGCTCCCGTTCGCGATTTTGTGATGATTGATGGGGCGTGAACCAGTCTTTGACCTTCTCCATTCCTTGCTTTGTTCGTCTAATCGCACTTGCAACAACTTCTGCGCCAGGAAATGTCATTCCCTCATTCGGGTCTGCGTATATGTAATATGGTTCGTCTTGATCGACATCGCTTCCGTTATCGTATTCGTTCCAATATGTTTGTCGAGGCGGCGATCGTTGTTGTGTGCGCGTTGGAGCACGGTTGAGACTTTCCCTTATTGAACCCATACTTGGAGTAGACGGTCCGCTGGTTACTGGAGTAGAAGCTCGGATAAGGGTTATGAGATCGTTGTACTGTGAATGTAGCCGAGCGAAGTCTTGCCTCGTGAAGCTTTTTGGATCTCCTAATACCTCTGATTCAAATCGTTCCTTGAGGGTTCGAGATCCGGTCCATTTCTAATGACGTCAGATGGATTCTCGTATTGTTGGTACTATATGTAGCTTTTCCTACCGTATATTTTTTCAATAACTTGTAGAATGCGACACGCTGCGCTTCGACAAATCGATCCAATTTGGAAAGATCATCTCCACAGCTTTCAATCTGAGTAGTATATTTGGAGAATTTATTCATCCTCTTTCTCGTCATCCGCCCACTGTTGCTTTCTGCACATCTTGCAAGTAATCGAAGGACAATGTTGGATAAATATTCTGTTATTCAATTAATGTCGACCATTTCAAAATCCGACTCAACCCTATACTCACGAAGTCTGCGACCAATTTCCTCACTCTTGCTCTTTACAAACAGCTCAACCCGATCATGTTGATTGGATAACTCCGTAAAGAATTCATTCTCGAATGCGACCAAAGCAGTATCGACATGACCTGGAATCGCAATTGATTTCCCCGAGTTCCTCGTAGTATTGTGTTTTATCAAATTCTTCAATTCATCATAATCCAGGTTGTCTAATTGCAGAGCGAAAAAGTTGTTTGTCAGTATTTGCGTCATAACATTGCGGCATCACATCCAATGAAAAGGAAATGTTTCAGACTTACATGGCGCCCATTGTGGCACAGAGTCCGCCTGAAATTGCTGACCGAACTTCATTCCCAAATGTTCTTGGGTAAAAGGTTCTTGAGCAATTGTTTCTTTCTATAGCAAATCCGAGGTTGTTTGTTCCCTTTGTTCCGATCCAACAACCGTCATGCGCGGGTAATGGCGGTCTTGGTGGATCTTTTGGAAATTTAATACGCAATAATATCCGCAATTGCAAAAACTTGGTGGAGGACGGTGGACACTGAGGATAAGTGGATATAGAATTCCAGACCCAAGCAATACGATCCAACTTTCGGCAAAAATGTATGGGGAGGGAAGAAGTGAAGACGAATAAGGATAGGGATAGGAATGGATGGATGGATGATAAGCTCCTTGATGTTTTGGAAAGCTGGTGCCAAGTTGTTTAAAGGGAGGCTAAATACAGTAACTGAAGCAAAAGCAACACAGCGAAGGTCGAGTTCTGCTTTGGGATAAGTATGGTAAGAGCGGTATGGACGTGCAAGTGAGGTGCGATATTTCTCCCAAGTTTTTTGAAACTTTTGAGACTTTAGAAACTCAAAGTCATTCACAAGAAGATACGGAACGGACAATATCTTTTTAGCGTTAGCTGCTACAAGTAGCAAAGCAAAGATAGCGATAAATCTACTCTACAGGAATAATGATGTTGGGGATCAGGGAACTTTTTATGGGATGTGGACGGTAATACGAACCTGCGAGGATCTGGATTCTTCTGAAAAAAAAATGAAAAAGAAAATCTGGAACCATGAATCAGCCATCGATGGCGTCTCCTGCTCCTTTGGTTCCTTTCCGTTCGTTTTTTTAAACGGTATCCTTCTTAGTTCTCTGCTATAGGATGTCTGATGGCTGCAATTGTATCAACGGTGTGCATATTGCATATGAAGGGTCTCGCTGGGGCTTTGGTTTTCAATTTGACATCTTGATTGGGCGCAGATATTGATTAAGTTTAAGGGCCGAGATGCAGCGAGTGGTGGGGAGAAATTTAAATGTGGTTTATGGAGTAGTAAGGAGTGTGGAGCAAAGATAATTGCAAGGTCTAAAAGCAAGAAGCAAGGATCTTTTTCGTGCTTTACTATCTAGAACCTATCAACAGATGTACGGAGTACCGAGTATATTATGTATCCAGCATAGAGAGAAGCTCGATGATGTTCAATGTCGTGTTACTATGGATGGTAGATTGAGAGTGGTCAAGCCAATTGAAATCAGATGATAATAATGGAAGATATCCTTTATACTCCTCACCTAACAGAGTCACAAAGTAAAAGAGAAAAGCTTTATATTTTTACAAAATTTCATTATCAATGGCCAATTACTCGAGGAAGTCAAAATGTTGTGATGATCGCAGAAGATTAGAGATTAGTTGACTGATACACAAGGTGTGCGTGTCTCTACTCTCTAGTTCAATGTCAATTATTAATTAGGAAGTTTACCAGAGTCTGCAAAGGAACTAGTAGGGTACCGGTAGGAGGTATCCGATACCTGCAACGTGGAGGGGTAATTAGAGATTTGGATGCTGCATCTGCACAGGCATATTGAGCCGGCTTGGGAGAACCCATTTGCACAACATCGTACTGTACAGAGTACACTATTTAACTACCTTCCCAAGTAAGCATCGATTCATGTATTATTGTCGTAGACGGATGGAACATGATACGAGATAGAGAGAAGTCCGGATCGAGGTTCGTCGGATATCTCAGATATCTCAGACCTACCGGTATCGTACTCCGTACTTAGCTATGCCAATCTCAATTAAATTTTAGGTTTGACTATTCATGTGAAACATTGCCAGATCTTTCCGCAGAGATTGACTTTTCAAGATTCGATAAGGCCATGATCGAGATGTGGCGGTACAAAATATTTCTGGTTTCATTATCATTGGTGAAGACAAAAATACTTGCATATGTAAACCGTATATGTATGCAAAAGCCAATGCTTCCAAATCAGGCCCGTGGCCCCGAGTCACAAGTGAATGCCTACATCTGTTGGAATGATAGTGACTTCTTTAGCTCAGAATACATACACTGAACCAAATCTCTTATACATCTCTGTTTGTACCCGTACTTTCAGATGATCCTAGAAAAATCTATTACAACATCCCAAGCATGGGAAGTCGGATTGTTCCGACCATCAAGGTGTTGTTCATCCTAGCTACCCCTCATGTTCAGAATATTCTATTACTCCTCTATCAATATGATTGTGATATTATCTGAAGCTGTGAAACATTTCGGTATATAAGGAGGGAAAGTCTAATGGCATACCAAGTTTGGTGATGATTTGGAAAAGACGACGTTACCTTCTCCTTCTGCTCGGAGGGTTGCTCCGGCCCCCGCACCTTAAAAGAGGAGACGATATGAAATCGAATACACATGAAGTCATAAGATTGACAAACTCCCATGGAGCAACATCTGGGAGTGGTGTTTCCACATATCGAACCCCCACACTTTTATTATACTCCAGGCCATGAAGAACTGGCGTTTTCCCTCGGCTTTGTGTTGGGTGGCTATATGCCCTTCTTTCCGGCGATGTGCATGTCCAAGCCTTGAAAAGTTCCCGTCTCCAATGGCGTTTTCAATGTCGTACAATTGATAAACCTAGAAGCAGTAATAGCCCACGCGAGTAAAATTCAAATTTCAGCCTTGTGTATGCTATCATACCCTACCAGCAAGTACATGTGTGACCGACCTCCAAGAACACAGACCGTTGTACTGCTGTGATGCATAACCAACCACTATATCGAGATGGATGCGATAAAAGTAGCCGATTTCGCATGCAACGTCGGGCACGATAAACGGCCAACAGGGGTTTGTGTTGATGTCGTGCGTGCATTGCAGCCCAGAGAACGATACGCAGGGTTTTGCACTTTTTCAGCTGACTGAAAGACAGCAAATACACCAAGAATGCAACGATCGACATGTTCAGTCGTGAAATGAACCTACATCAGGAAGCTCCTGATAAGATAACATATCTTGTGAATCAACTTTGATGTTTGTACTTCCAGTTCGATCAATCACTTGAGTTGCGGAAGTATGTAGGTAGGAATGATGAGAAAGCTTCAGCAAGATTCGAAGTTAAAAATATCGGGAAAGAAATAGAATATATCAAGAAAGGGAGAAAAGATCTCCAAAAGCAAACTATCATGAGGTATTGATATATGTCACGTGGTAGTTATCGTAAAATGCGCTAGTCTTATCGCTGTGCTTCGAGTAAAAAAAATTCAAAATTGTCAATCAGAGGAAAGTTGAGGGTCAATGATGGCGACGACAAGCAGCATTATATCCTCAACGACATCAACTTCACACACTATGACTGCCTCCTCACCCCTTAAAGCTCCCTCCGTTATATCTATTCAAAATGGCACGAATGTACCAAACTCAATTGAGGATTTAGTATTTGCGCTTACTCGAACCAATCGACATATCTTCATTGCGCCTTCGTCGAAATTACCCAACGCGAGTTTGGAATATGCAAAAGAAACATTGGATAGATTTGCGGGAAAATTAGGAGATGAACAAGCCAAAAGATTGAAAGAGCAGAGGAAAAAGAGGAAGAGGGGTGAGAAGGATGAGGCTACAGGAGAAGTGTTGAAGATTAGGAAAATACATACACAAGGGTTTGAGGTTCAGCAAGTTTGGGAACAGGCTAAGAGGGTTATCGACGCGCTGAAAGGAGACGCAGAAAGAGCTCTTGAAGAGCTTGGAATTGGTGGGGATGAGAGTGAAGAAAGTGAGAACGAAGAAGAGGGTAATTCTGACATGATGAAGTTTGATGAAGATGGATTTGAAATTGGCTCGGATAATGAGAGCATGGAAGGGGACGAGGACCTCGAAGATATGGAAGAGGAATTTTACACTGATCAAGAGGAAGGAACGGACGGTCGGGATGACGGGGAGGCTTTCGAAGGCTTTGGGGAAGAAGAAGACGAGGATGAAGAAGATGATGAAGATGATGACGGAGCTAGAGTTTTCGTGGAGGATCCAAATAAACTCAACGATGGTTTTTTCTCAATCGATGATTTTAATAAACAAACAGAATTTCTCGAAAGACAGGATGCTGCTGCAGATCCTTTTACTGGAGAAGCAAGTGACGAAGAAGATATTGACTGGGGTGCCGATCCAATGTCTATGCCAGCTAAAGCAGGAAAGAGCTCGAAACGTGCAAAAGCTATGGATGTCTCCGACGAAGAGGATGACGAGGAAGAAGGACCTACGTTCGGTAATATGGATTTGAATGCACCAGAGGGAGATAGTGAGGATGATGATATGGATTTGGACGAAGCTGCTGATGGAGCTGATGATAACACAAATGACATTCTTTACAAAGATTTCTTTGAACCTCCACCGAGGAAGATAGGCAAAGGAGAAAGACAAGCAAAGTACCTTGAAAGACAAGCTAAGAAAGCCAAAGCAGCACCCGAAGACACTGAGGCTGCTATGGAGCGAGCTATGGCTGACGTCCGACGCGATCTATTTGACGACGAAGATGATGCCAATTCTGAAGATGCCCTGTCGGACCTCGACCCAGCAGATCCTAAGTCCCGTCGTTCAGCTCACGAACGTCGCCAAGCTAAAATTAGCGAGGAAATTCGTCGCCTGGAAGCTGCATCCGTCGCGAAACGTGATTGGACATTATCAGGAGAGGCAAAAGCAGTTGATCGACCCATGAACTCTCTCCTCGAAGAAGATCTCGATTTCGAACGCACCGGAAAACCTGTTCCTGTCATCACAGCCGAAGTCAGCGAAAGCATCGAAGAACTCATCAAGCGACGAATCCTAGCCCAGGAATTCGATGAAGTCATTCGACGTCGTCCTGACTCCCTAACTCCGGCCAACACCCGTCGCGGACTCTTCGAACTCGACGATTCCAAAAACCAACAGAGTCTCGCGGAAATCTACGAGGAAGAACACATAAAAAACAAAAACCCAGACACATACATCAGTAAATCAGACGAAAAATTTCAAGCCCAAGAAAAAGAAATCGAAAACATATGGAAAGACGTATGCGCCAAACTCGACGCCCTAAGCTCCTGGCACTACAAACCCAAGCCCGCAGCCCCTAGTCTCACAGTCGTGGGCGACGTTGCTACAATCAGCATGGAAGATGCACAACCGTCCACCGCATCCGGTATCGCCGGCGGCGAATCCATGCTTGCGCCGCAGGAAATCTACAAGGCTGGGCAAGTAGCAGAGGGCCAAAAGAAAGATAATAAAGAAATTACACGTGGAGGTGCACCTGTTGCGCGAGAGGAAATGAGTCGAGAGGAAAAATTGAGGAGGAGGAGGAGGGAGAAGGAAAGAATTAAGAAGATGGGTGAGGGGGAGAAGGTACTCAGTAAAAAGGCGAAGGAGAAGAAGGATGTGGTGGGTGAGTTGAAGAGGGGTGGCGTGAAGGTTATTGGGAAGAGAGGTGAGATGAGGGATGTAGAGGGGAAGCGAATCTTGGCGAGTGAGGTTGTTACTGGGGGTGGTGGGTTTAAGTTGTAGATTGGAGTTGAGGTTGTGTAATTATCAACAATTATGTAGATGGATATCAGGCTATTGCCATTGTTACTCATGGATATGTTGTGAAAAGTTATTGTATGTGTCAAATATCAAATAGAATAATCCCACGTATACAAAGTATATGTTTCCTCTAATTCTTCGCCTCTTCATTTCCCAATTTTCCCCTCTCCCTCTCTTTTAACAACTTCCCCTCCAATCCCGCTGGCGTCTCAAGCTCCACAAATCCCCCCATCTTAACATCATCTTTTACCTCCCTCTTCTCCACATCCGCAGCCACGAAATCATCCAACTTCGCATCTCCACTCCTCCTTTCCCACCGACGAGCCTCCATACTCAACGGTCTCCACCATCCTTCCCCGTTCCCATCTCCTCCTCTTGCATGCCATCTCCCGCCACACATTTCCCACAATCTACTCGCCGCCCTCTTATACGCAAACCTCTCATCCTCACCAGTAAAACTTTCCGTCCTGCCGAAATCCACCCCTTTCATATTTCCTTTCTGCCTCCCAATCTCATTACCCGCCCCAGGAACCGGACCGAAATCTGCATCTTCGTCTGGGTCATATCCAGTTTTAGTACTGGAGGTATCGGTGTAGGTAGAGATATTCGGACGGAAAGGAGAAGTTTGGTCTTGATAGATTTCAGAGAGGGTTTCGGGGTATACAGCATCTTGGGGATTTTCGGACTCGGAATCTGAGGAGGGAGGTAGTGTAGTTTCCGGAAAGAAAAGGGTGTCTGGGCCGACAGCAGCGCGGATGATGAGTTTACAACGAGCTTCGTAGAGGGCATCTAGGAGGGTGATGAGGCGTCTTGCTTCGTTTTTTTGAAGCAGTGTCAGGATAGGAATGGAGTCAAGAATGAAGGTGTGGAAGGTGGAAGCCATGGTAATATAGTCTGCAGGACCGAAAGTACCTCCGCAAAGAGTGGGGAAGTCCCAGTAGGTAATGCCATTGAGATGCCGTGGAACAGGTACCGTACGACCATAGACGAGGAGGGTGGTTGATTGCCATGGGATTGGGTCTGGAGATGATGGAAAAGCTGATTTTACTAGTTTCTCCCAAGCATCATCACTGTCTGAAGTGAGAAGGTACTTCTTAGGCGTATTCGCCTTGGCAGTTTTCTCATTCGTCTCGCCATCGTTCCCTGCATGAATACTTTGATCATATCCTAGTCCAAAATTGCCAGATGAATGATTTTCGAGCCCAGTAAACCCTTCGATCATTTCCTCTCGCATGATTTCGGACATTTTCGCCGTTTCATCATCAACATCCTCGATTTCTCTTCGCCTCCAGTCTCTACCACCCTTCCCCATATCCCAGATCTCACACCTGGCTTTCAGAACTCCAACAAAACTAGTAAACTCATTCCGACCAGAGAACATGTCGAGCTTCTGGGGTTTAGCTAAGCCCAGCCAATTCTTCACAAGGCCGCCTCTTCCTGAAATGGCATAATCCATACCACTAGCCTTCTCAAGTTCTTCTGGCATACGATTTGAAGATGCAATTAGTACACCACCCAATTGAAAGAATGGTGTCAGAAGGTTACTCAAGATTTTACTTGCAGCTCGGTCTGGCAACTGGAACTCGTCCAAGAAAAGGATTGGTGACTTTTCGATCATATCCTTTGCTAGCCAAAGTAATGAATAGTCCTCTGAGCCTAGATCTCCATGATTGGAGCGAGATTGTCTCAATTGCTCTAAACGTGCAAATGTCTCCAACATGAAAGTATTGAAATGCCATCTTCTTTTCTTGCTGTTCGGTAGACTATCTGCTAACATATCCAATAGCATTGACTTTCCAGTCCCAACCTCACCATGAAGCAATATACCTTGTGGAGAATCCATCTGCATTGCTGATTCATGGCTTGTAAGGATTCTTGTCATTGCAAGTGTATCTTGACGTTCTTTTCTTTTGAAAAGATGGGCAAACAGTGGGTTGTTGCGTAAGGGATGACCAGGTGCTGCTACCGTTCGTCCATCTTCTTCATTTTGACCATCATTGATTGCCTGACTAATTGCTTTGAGTCGAGCTCCATATTCGGATTGAGGCTTGTAGTCCTTCAATCGTAGATATAACTTTTGTAGATGTAAAGCTATGCGATGTTGAGCTGGATCAGGGTCAATGGCTTTCGTAGCTAATAGAGCACGATATAATATGAGGGGATTAGTGATTGTAAGCCCTGTAGATTGAGGGAGCTTTGTTGATGGCATTTGGAACTTTCATGGCCAATATCGAAGCAGGAAACTCAATCATGTTGATGAGGGGAGAAAATGCAAGCGTCATAGGCGGCACTAAATCGGATCGTCACTTTCTCAGCCTTGCTCCTCAGCCTTGCATTGTAGCCCTGCAAGTTATTTTCGCGTTCTATTGAATATTTCCTCAGAAGCCAAGGCTGTGCGATCTGGAAGCTATTTTGTTTCGATGTAATCGGACAATTGATAATGGAAATGGCAAGTCATACCCAAGAACTACTTGATGGCGTCGGAGGTTGGGGGTTAAAGGAATTGATACTGTACGCTGTCCTGTCCATGGCTTGAGATGTCAATGTCGTAGAAACAGGTTCTGCAGTGCAGCATGTGTTTGTCAATGATGATTCTGTAATATTCTCATTGATTCCTCACTGATCCCTTGGGAAATACGTCTATTTCAGGATATGCGCTTGAAGGACTAAAGTGGATGACTTCAATTGACTAAAAGGATCTTCAAACATTTATTTATGAAGCATGATTTTCTTTCATTCCATTCAAACAGCATCTTGAGAAGAGTAGAAATCCAAAAAACGTGTACAGTAAGGAAGCTTAAGCCTTGAGGTGTGTATGGCCAGAGCTCAGTCAAAACGCGTGGCTTCCACCGCCTTTGTACCTGTATTGATTTTTGAACCATGATTTAATTATTTTGGGGCAGATCGATCTAAACTTTAAGAAGCTTTAAAACAAAACAAACCTGACGAGCTTTACGACTATTTACTCTCCACGAATAATGCCAACAGCTCCATCCATCTTTTTTTTATTCTGAATCCCGTCACTTAATTTGGATTTCAATTAATCCTCACAATGTTCTCGCCTGCAGTCAACGCTGGTGCTCCCGCTCCAGTAAGGAGTAGTAGAAGACGACCACGGCCTTCTTCGAACGAGAATTCATTAGCACAACCAAAGAGCAAGAGAGTTCGAAGCTCATACGATGATCAGACTTTTGCGCCAAATGGTACACCCGAAATGGATGAAGCAAAAAGCAATAAAGTAGCTACTTTAGTGAGGCGCGAAAGTCCTAAGGAGGTCGCAAATCCGAGACGGGAGATAGCAGTAAGAGGCAAGAAGTCGAAAGGAGCAGAAAGGCCTGGAAAGGGAGATGGTAGCGTGGTCCTTGTGAGTTGTTCAGCATGACATTGTGTTGCAACTGTTAGAAACTGATGATTTACATCCTCTGGCAGACTAAGAACGATACCTACACAGTTAGTAAACTTCCAGCTCTTCCAGATCAAATTCGCGCAGATATTACAGGTATTTATCACCTTTCCATTGATGTATAAATCCATTACTAAATCTAATTGAAAGCTCATCTACATGGCGCAATTTATTCAGATAGTGGTTATGCACTTGCTCTCACCCATTCTTACGCATTTGTCTGGCCATACGCAATCAACATTCCTTCCCCCGAAACTTTTACATTCGCTTTACCTCACAGCAATAAGCATGTATCAGATCCTCTTCCTCTTGGTTCGCTTGTCTCACCTTCTGCATCATCTTCGGAGCCAGGCCTTGTCGTTGTCATACCTACTACCGGAAAAATTACATATTGGGAGTCTATCGCTAGTGCCGCTACCCTTGACCTGATCAAACTGAAAAGTAACGGAGTAGGATCAACTATATCAGGAATGCTTTCCGGGGAAACCGTTGTGCAACTTTTGAATGCGGAAACCGCCGGGTTCGTCCTGGCATTTAGTACCGGACGGCTAGCTTATTTGAGAGTCAGAGATGGACATGGAAGGCCCGAGATATCTGTTCAATTCTTGAGAGGATCAAGCGGACCTTTAGCAGGAGGCATATTCGGCAGTCTGCGGAATGCACTGTCTAGCTCAGCATGGCGCGGGGATATTGCCGCGGTTCGCGCTGGGCCACAAGAGCATGTAGGAGACCGAAATGTTGTCGTCGCAACAGGAAAGGGAAGAATACAACTCTGGAATCTCCAAAGAGATGGACAGAATGCGCTGCATGCCGAAGCTGAGGGGCGGGAAGCAATCGTAATGGAAATCAAAAGGGCCGAACCTACTCTATCCAACTTGTCATTAGAAACGTTCGAAGTTCTCGACTTCACTTTCACACCTCGATCGCCAGAGGACCGCTACGACGTGGGAGATCAACTGCTGTTGCTAACCTCCCTCTCCAATCGACACACAAGTCACTACACACTTGTCGACGTTATTCTTAGACGGGATCAGTTGATCGTCGAAAATGTTCAACTACTCAAATCTTACACCACCACGGTCAACAAACATGCAATTTCAAAAGCACGAATTTACCTACCAAGTCCAGCGCTTGTTGCCTATATCGTCTTTGATCGTGCTGTGGTTGTTGTTTCCAGGGAAAAACAATCAGATTCGCCCGAGTCGCAGCTTCTTTCCGAAAATCATACACTGTCGCCGTCATTTGAAGACGTTGTAGACTTCAGGGAAGATACAAACGTTGAGATTGTCGGGTCGGGCATGGAAGAACCTCAAAACATTCAACATGGAATTGAGGAAGCAAAGTCGCGCAAATACAAGGCAAGGCATCCGGCCGCCGTTCTGTTGGTTCGAGGTGGGGGCGTGATACGTGTGGCGGCCACCGATATTGACAAACTCACATCTAGCACAAGACGGCAAGTCACTGCGAAAAGCAAGCTAGAACAAGCAGTATTCTACGGCACAATGGCACAAAATCCTTTGAGCTTTGCGGGACGATCAGAATTGCAATTTCCTGCAGAAGAAGTTGGAGCAGCTGCTTTGGAATTGAGCACAGAGATCGTGGAATCTATAACCAACTTCATTCCTTCAGTTTCTGCCTCGCTCGAGCAACATCTTAAAAGGCGGGCAGCGGCTCTTCATGATCTTGCTAAGCATCTCAAAGTGACTGGTGTAGAACTTGACAGGGTCACGCGGTGGAAGCTACTTTGGGATGCAGAAAGAATGACAGCGGCTACAATTATCTGGCAGCGCTATGATGCTCGCATTCGAGAGCTACCTGAAGGACAGAAACGGGGGCTCCTCGCAGAACTTGTGGACCACATTCATGAAAATTTCAAAACAGAGCCTGTTACTGAGAAGGGCGAAGTCGATCGTGTTCGACATTTTTTTATTCATGATGTTGCTAAATTACCTTTGGCGATACCATGGGCCTTTCAGATTCTCAAGTACGCATGGCAGGACGGCCAAAATTCTCCTGCTTCAGTAGTCGAAACATTAAGTCAATCTAACGACATGATGATTGGTGCATTGGAGGGTGCATTTGACTTTCGCATGGATAATTTACGACTCTATGGGTTGCAATCAGAAGTATTGTCACACGGAATCTTAGAAGAAGGCTATGAAGGACTCCCAGAGTTTTGGACTTCGACTTTCTACGTCGCCGAAAACGTTCGAAAGCAAACAGACCTTGTTTCTATGCTACTCGGAGAATATTGGAATAAGCCTGTTACGGAAGGCAGCGCGGATCCTGAAATCCTCGACAAAATACGATTAGAGTATCCTGCTCTAATCGATATGGCTATCCGATCCAATGTGGAGAGGATACGCTGGGTATCGGCGCAAGACTCACCACAACTTCAAATGCAGGCAGAAGGCCTTCAAAACCTACAATCAATTTCGCAAGATAAACAGCTACAGAATCTTGCCGACACATGGGAACTTCCCGATGAAGCAATGGCAATTGCAGAAAAACACGAAATTCTACATACATTAGCCTCTGTTCTGATGTATGAGGTCGTTGTCTGTGCTGAAGGACTTGGTACGCCAGGCATTAGCGAAGATGAATGTGAACATCTTAGGAAGCGAGAAAAGGACCTTAATGAGCGGATGGACAAGTATTTTGCAAACTTTGGTGCCAGCTGGGCTGCCGCCCTGTATGAGTATTTTATCAGCAATGGACAAGTCCAACAAATGCTCAATGAGTATCAAACTCATCAAGCATTCCTTACCGCGTTCCTACGTGACAAACCGGAGTATGCGAAGATTGGTTGGATTCATGAGATTACTCGAGAAAAGGATTACGACGAGGCCGCAAGAATGCTTCTTGAACTCGGATTAGATCGGGAACGAGATGTCTGGAGCAAAAAGGTTGAGCTGAGCATTGGCAAACTTTCGCGTATGGCAGGCCGAAATTACAGTCAGACAAATGGAATCCTCATCCCTGACGGAGGTGAAGCGGAACTTGTCAGAGCAAATCAAGAGCTTGGATTGATCAAAATTCAAGATCTGATTTACAAATACATATATCCCACCATCAGCACGGCCATTGACGGTAACGCTGAAGTCCAACTGGCTTTGGAAACTCATGGAAATAAGAGTTTGAAGCAACAATTCTCTTTCATGAACCTTCTCGAAAATAGCATGACTCTACTCGTCAAGCATGAGTCTATGGATGCTTTCAGTTTGGTTGATTTGCTTACCTTAATGGGTGATGATTTTAGAGCCATGGAACAAGATGATTTCAGCATTACCAGGTTTTATTGGGCCCTCGAAGCTATCCGTTTAGGTGTTTCAAATAAAGAAGAGAGGTTGCTCATGCAACGTGTTATCTGGAGAAGATGTCTCTTGAGAGATGACTGGGCTGCGATGAACAATACAGAGGCGAAGGACGATCAATTTGTAGAAGATCAATTAAAGACAACAGCCTTGTATTCGACACTTAAGAGCTGCTTCAAAAATCGTAAGTATTATGGTTCCAACAACCTATGTTAGGAACGCAGGCTGACCACATTTTCAATAGGCATCTTCGAAAAGGATCTCATAATCAGGCCACTAAGTCCTCAGGAGGTTATTGGCGCATGCACAGATGAGCTAGAACAACGATGGTCTCGAATTGACGCCAGCATGCGTAAACGTATGATGGAAGATTATCAGATTGAAGATGAAGCATTAAAACTCTACCTCGAGACGGCTAGAATAGAAAATTGGCATCAACAAGCGGCTGAACTTGCAAAACAAGATTTCAGAAATGAAATTGGTGCTGAAACTACAGAGGGCTCGATTATGGATAGAGAGGCGGCTAGGACTCTGGAGGATCTGGAGAAGAGTATTGCGGATAATGAGAAGGAGACGGCGGAAAGCATGTTGTTTTCGAGGCCGAGACATAGGGTTAGACCAAAGTTTGATGGAAGAAGCAGTGCTAGTGGGAGTGTGCGCGCTGGTAGTTTTAGAAGCTCGGTCAAGTTGTATTGAAGGATAAGTGAGTTAGGATAGGAAAAAAAGAAACATGTACATGGGATGGTTTGTAAGATTCGATTCTGGCAGATCTTTTATTAGGGTATTGCAGTCAGTATTATATCACTGGTTTTCATTAGCGTGGAGTTTGTGGACTTCTTTGGTTTGGTTTGGAGTTTGTAAACAAAATCGATTAAAATTAGCTTGATGATTATGGATGGATGGATACGATGGGTTAGGATAGGATAGGATGGATAGGAAGAATGAAAAAAGATTGGTATGAATTATCGGTATTAGATGACCTCGAATCAAAATGTATCAATTTTTTGATATCTTGAACTCGTTGAAGTTTTCTATGTGTGTATGGAATTTGATTGTCGGTCTATATGACTTGGTAGATGGGGAGGTAGGGAGGGAGGGAGACAGTTCTTTACATGCTATTGTTTTGTATTGTTTCGTTTTTATTTCTTTAAGTAGAGGAAAGAGGAGTTTTATATTATTTTTTTATGTGTGTGTGTGTGTGTATAGAATTGTATGTTGTGTATTTGTATGTATGTGTATATGTGTATGTGGATGGAATATAATATTGAGGATAGAGCCCACCAGTCTCCAGTCTTGAATATAAGAGGGAGGGAGGGCGGAGAGGAGGGAATGGAGGAGAGGAGGGGAGGGGGAACGGAGGTGGAAGGGAGAGGGCTGTGGTGACATCGATGTGAGGTGGATGGAAATATTATTAGATGGTAGGTAGGTAGGTAGGTAGGTAGGTAGGTAGGTAGGTGGACAGGTAGATAGATAAGTATAAAATTTACAAATAAAATATATATAATTCTTTAATTCTATTTATTTGTTTATAAAGTGTTTTAAATATTAAAATTAAAATAGATTAGATTTATATTATTAGATTTTAATATAAAATAATATATATATATATAATTATTATATATTAAAGTAATTATTTTATTTAAAGATTATTTTATTATTTTATTTAAATTGAAATTGAATTATATTGATTATCATTTATTTAAAGTATATAATTATCTAATTGAAAATTTTTATTTATTTATTTAATTCAATTCAATCTATATTTATTTGTATTTTTATTTTTATAAACAGATATACAAAAAGATTATACTCTTTATTAATTTATCTTATATCATCTTATTAATAAATACTTTTACATTGACTTCTATACCTAACTGTAACGATCTGGTCGAGGCAGCGGCTGCCTCAGGTTTTCGTATGGTTGGTAGTTGTAAATTAAGGCTAATAATCATTGGTTATCCATTCGAAGATGAATACATTATTAGATCAATTGGAATGTAGATAAATTAATTGATAACTAAATTGAATATGAAACTCTTAAATTATAAAATTATTCTGATTATATATTAATGAATGTAAAAAAGCTTTATAGAGTTTTAAAACTTCAAAAAGCTTTTAAAGCTTTAAAAGCTTTCGAAGCTCCTAAAACTCTTTATTATATAATTAGAATTAAATTATATATTCAAACTTACTAAAAATAAAAAGATTATATAAAACAATTACTATATAAATTTATATACAAATCGTTTTGCTTTTCGATAAAACCTAAACTCATATAAATATATTGATTATTACCTTTCAATATATTCTTATTTTAATTATAAATTATAATATTATCTTCTTCTTAATTAAATATTATCTCAATTGTTTATAACCCTTCAAATTTCATTTAGTAATTAATATTTTTCTTCTTTTATATTCTATCTATCTCTTTTTCTTTATTATAAATAATTCTGATTTTTTCAATAATTTAATTCAAAGAAAGAAAAAGAAATGTATATATTTAATTATAATTATCGATTCTATTAATATTGAAATGATTTTTTGTTCTTATTATCAATAAAAGAATCATTATTATATTAAAAATCTCTCTAATAAATATCGTTTGTATTATTTGAAATATATACGAAATTCTGTTTCATATAATATTGAGTTTCGTTTGAAAGATAATTGGGATTGTGAAATTCCTCAAAAGTATAATTGGAAAAGTCTTGATCGATAGATTGATAAATTAAATATTGAAATCATTGAATCTTTTATTAAAACTATTCGTTTTGTTAAATAGAAAATACAATTCAAAAAATAATACAATGAAATATTACATTGTAGATTCAAATATCTTAATGAATTTGATATCTTTGAAGAAAAAAAGCGAAAAGAAAAAAATAAAGAAATTCCTGCGATCTTTTTGTTGTTTTCTAATCAATTTGATCAATTTGATTAATTTGATTAATTTGATCAATTTAATCAATTAATCTTTAATCGATTTGATCAATTATTAATTGATTCTATTAATTTCAACGAAATTCTTATGAACGAATTCGATTCTTTCGATTCTTTTTTATAGAAAACGATGAATTTCTTTTCCTTTTGAATAAATCTGGATTCTATTGACGAAACTTTTGGAATTTTTTTAAATATTTAATCTCTTTCTCAAGTTTCTATATATTTTTAAAATCAAGGTAATCTTTTTATTTTATTAAGTATTTGATTTTGCTTTTAATATATTTATAATCTAATATCTTTTTTATTTTATATTCGGTATCTTGATTTGTAGATATAATTTTTATTTCAGAAGTTTTAGATGTTTTTGAGGATATTAATTCGAGTAGGAATATATAGAATATTGAATATATATTTATATTCTTTGATAATACCAATTTATAATTCAAAGATTTTTTAACTTTCTTGATTTTGAATAATCCGAGTTTTTTATAATCCAATTTTGTATTAAATTTTTTTGTTTCGATATTTTTTCGAAATAAATAGATTTTATTTTTTTCTTTTAATATTGATTTTTGATTATGTTTTCGATTATAATAATATATGTTTTTTTCGGTAACGAATTTTAATTCCATTGTTATTTTCTTATAAATCTTTTTAAATCTTTTTATTTATATTATTACAAATTGATTTTCTATTTCTATAATCTTTAATTTGTAATATATAATTAGTTTGTATTTATAATTAATATAATTCGAAATGATTTATATTATTTTTAATATTGAATTGTTGTATATGAATTATATTAAAAATAAAAGTTCTATTCAATTATTTTGTTGATAATTTATATAATATTGAAAATAAATTTCAATAATTTGATTTACTTTTTTGTTTCCTTTATTGATTTATAAATAAAATATAATAAACATTTTTCTTTTTATTTTTAATAATATTATTAAAATAATTCAAAATTTCAATATAAAAAGTTTATCTTTATTAAAGAATATTTCTTTTAATAATCTATATATTATTATAATCTTTTTTAGAAATATAAAGATTAGTATTTCTATAATTAATATTGTTTGATATAATATAAATATTAAGTACTTTGTTAATTTATCTATTATAATAAGAAGATAATTGTATATTATTTTTGTTATTGAATCCTTGGATTTTGATAATGGATTTATAAAGTTCTATGATATTGATTTTTATAGTATAGATAGTATTTCGATAATGTTCATTTGATTATAAAGAGTATAATAGGAAGTCTTATTTCTAATATAGGTATTATATTTGATAATCATTTTATTGATTATATTGTAGAATCCTAGACTTCAATATTATTTTTTGATTCTTAGATATATTCTTTATACTTTTTGATATTTGTAAATTGATAATATATATTGTTTTATAATATATTCAAAGACAATATTATTTGGTAATCATATTTTATTTTTTATTCGAAATAATCCTTCAACAATTATTGGTGGTTTTGATTATTTGATATTTTTTTTATTTTGTTATACTTTTATAAGTTTATCTTTTTAGATTTCTATTGGTTTATTTTCTATAATAACGATTTCTGTTAAATTAGAGATAAGATCTTCATTTGATAAAGATTTCAAAATTGTTGTTTCTTAATAGGTTTTATCGTTTTCATAATCTAATAGTTTGTTTAAAGTATCTGCTTTTGTATTATTTTTTCTCTTGATATATTTGATTATCAAATCAAACCTTGTTAGTTCTTCAATTTATTTAATCAATTTATGATTATTTAAGATCTTAATAATAGTAAAGGTTCGAAGATTTATATGATCAATATAGATGATTATTGGGAATTTAGTTTTTTGAAGGTAGATCTTTTAATATTTTAATGTTTTTATAATAGTTATAAATTTCTTTTTATAAATATTGTAATTTTGCTTTATTTTGTTTATTTTGTTTGAATAATAAATGATAAAATATAGTTTTTTATTATTATTTCTTTATAAATGGATTTTTATTATATAAATATTAGAAATATTTATTTCAATAATACTTTCTTAATCATTATAATAATTGTAAAGGATAAATTCTTTTATAAATCTGTCCTTGATTTCTTGAAAAGCTTGTTCTGTTTTTTTATTCTATATAAAAGTTATTCTTTTTTTGATCATTTCGATAAAGGATTTTATTATTTTCGAAAAGTTTTTTATGAATATTTGATAGAAATTGATGAATTTTAGTATAGATTATATATCCTTGATATTTTTAGATTGTTTTTAGTTCTTTATTTTTTCTATTTTCTTAAGATTTATATTCATTTGTTTTAATTGAATAATATATTTTAGGAATATTATCTTTCGTATTTCAAACTTGTATTTCGATAATTTGAATCTTGAATTCATTTTTCTAAATACTTCAAATACTTTCAATATATATTCTTTATATTTCTTTTCTTTCTAAAAGAAGATTAGGATATCATTCAGATAACAGATTATAAATGAATTGAATTTTTTGAATATCTTGTTATTTTATTATTGATATATAATTAATATATTGGTTAAATCGAATAATATAATTATATATTCTTATAAATTTGATAATAATATAAAGATTATCTTCTATTCATAATTCTCTTTTATTTATATCAAATTGAAAATGTTTCTTTGATTCAATTTCATATAGATTATTGTTTTATTTAATTTATTCTTTAACTTTTAGATTTTTAATATTAAATATATATCTTTGATTGTTTTATTATTAATCTAACAATAATCTCTACAAAATCGATCATTTGAATTGCTTTTCTTGAATACCAATAATATATTGAATATATAAAAGAACTTGGATTTTCTAATTTATTCTTTTTTTTCAATCTTGGTTTTATATTCTTCCTATATCTATATAATATTAGAATTATATAATTTCAATTTTTTAATAAGAAATACAAATCCTTTTTTGAAATTGATCTTATAATTCTAAGGTTTATATTCTAATAAAGTCTTCAAGTTTTATAAGTTTTCGAAAAGCTTAATGAATCTTTTATATTATACTAG